ATTGGCCCTGGCTAGAGAAGGAGCTTCTTCACAACAGTGCCCAGTGGTCGGCAAACTCATTAGTTAACAGAGCCAGATACCAACAGTACAATTATTGAAATTTCTTTTGAGAGCCAAATTTTTTAATCTTAAACTTCTTCTAATGCCACTTCTTCAAAATACACGAGCCCAGGCCATGGTATTTTGTGGAAGAGCCACACTCAAGGGGCCAAAGAGCCACATGTGGCTCTCGAGCTGCAGTTTGCCCGCCACAGGGCTTAGCCTGTCCAAAAGCACCTATTTTTGTTTTCTATCTGTGCCCTGGTTGTAAAGCTCAAACTTATTTTGGGTTTGCTGATGACCATACTTCCAAGAAGATATCAGTGCAAAGATATCTGTACTGTGTTTATATCTCAAGAATTATTTGAAGGTTGATTACGCAGCTGTGCCTCTCGACCTTCTAGTGTTACACTAAGAAAGGTGACTAACACTTCCTTGAAAGTCTCTTCTCTTTTAATAACCCATGTAATTCCTTCAACATATGTTAGAGGTCATGGAGTTGACTAGATTGCACTATTAAGTATTGATCCCATAATGTTTTGCATGTGGTAGGCACACTGAAAGATCACTCATGGTGAACAGAAAGTGACTCTCATCTGCAGTAAACGATTAACAACCAGTTCTCCAAAGGAAAAATACCTGCTCTGCAGTATTTGTTGATTTCCATAGTGCAATATTAAGAACAACTTTATAAATTCAAACACTTAGATGAAATGGAGACATTCCACAAAGTGAAACTCAAGAAAAAAGAAGAAAAAAAAATCCAGAAATTCTATATCTATTAAAGAACTTGAATTCACATTTAAATCCCACAAGAAAACCTACAAATCCAGATATCTCCACTAGAAAAGCATATCAAATAGATAATCAAGAAATCTTGCACAAAAGTCTTTAGAAAATAGAGAGAAAAAAAAACTTCCCAAATTATCTTTTGAGGCCAGCATTGTCCTGTTACCAAAATTAGAAAAAGACAGCATGAGAAAAGAAAACTAACTTTTAACAAAATATCAGCAAGTTGAATCCAGTTATATCTAAAAATTATAATACATAATTATTAAGAATTAAAAGTTGGCTTAACATTAAAATCAATTAATGTAATTTATCATATTAACAGAATAAAGGAGAAAAACTACATGATTACCTTAAAATACACAGCAAAGATATCTGAAAAAAACCCAGCACTCATTAATTACAGACATAAATTAACAATAGATGAGATATTCCTCAACTTGATAAAAGGCATGTAAGAAAAACCTGCAGCTAAGGTGAAATTTAAATTTAAATGTTGAAAATGACAAGTGCTGGAGAGGATACGGAGAAAAAGAACCCTAGTTCACTGCTGGTGGGAATGCAGACTGGTGTAGCCACTGTGGAGAACAGTATTGAACTTCCTCAAAAAACTAAAAATGGAATTCCCATTTGATCTACTGATCCCTCTTCTAGGAATATATCCCAAGAAACTAGAAACACCAATCAGAAAGGATATATGCACACCTATGTTCATAGCAGCACAATTCACCATAGCTAAGATTTGGAAACAGCCTAAGTGTCCATCAGTGGATGAGTGAATTAAAAAACAGTGGTACATCTACACAATAGAATACTATGTTGCAGTAAAAAAGGAGTTCTTTCCATTTGCAACAGCATGGAAGGAAATGGAGAGCATTATGCTAAGCGAAATAAGCCAGTCAGAGAAAGATAAATATCACATGATCTTACTCATTTATGGGATATAATCATCAATATAAACTGATGAACAAAAACAGATCCAGAGACAGAGAAACATCAATCAGACTGTCAAACCTAAGAGGGAAGGTAGGGGAGGGTGGGGGTAAGGGGGAGAGATCAACCAAAAGACTTGTATGCATGCATATAAGCCTAACCAATAGACATAGACAACAAGAGGGTGAGGGAATGGTGGGGAGGATGCGGGGTGGGGGGGGGGGTAATAAATAAAGACACATATGTAATACCTTAATCAATAAAGAAATTTTTTTAAAAAAGAAAAAAATTTAATTGTTGAAAGACTTACCTAACACTTTCCCTAAGTTAAGGAAGGAGGCAAGCATGCTCATTCTTAATCACATCTAATGAACATTTTGCTGAAGGTCATAAGTTGTGCAATAAGAAAAGAAAAGAAAAGATAATAAAAGGCATATAACTTATAAAGGAAGAAGAAAAACTGTCTATATTTGCAGATCATGCACATATAAAAATCTAAAACACTTTAAAAAATTCTCAAACTATTAAGTGAATTGACCAAATGTCAACATACAAAAATCATTTATATTCCTATATACTGGCAACAAAGAATATAAAACAAATTTAATACTATCTAAAATAGCATAAAAAAATCAAAATGCTTAGTCATAAATTTAACAAAATATGTGCAACAGCTATATATACTGAAGACTACAAACACTGAGAAATTAAAGATCTAAATAAATAGAGATATAAATTATGTTCATGGGCTAAAGACTTAATATTGTTAAGATGTCATTTCTTCCCAAGCTGAATATATTGATTCAATGGTGATAATCAGAACTCTAGCAGGATATTTTTATATAAATTACTATGCTGAGATTCTAAAACTTAGTAGGAAATGCAAAGGACTTAAAATAGCCAAAACAATTTTGGAAAGAACAGAGAAAGAATCCTAAAATGACCCCAAGATTCCACTCCCCCTTCTATTCCTGCTGAGAGGCCAGTATAAATCCTTCTCCTTGAGTGTGGGAGGGTCCTGTGAATATGATGGGATTTCACTTTCATGATTAGGTTTCATTATACTTCAAAGATAAGAGGGTTTCCACCTGTAGCTCCATCTAGGACTGAAATGGCTTCATGCCTGTGTGGATTCCAATGTAAAACTTTTGTTCTCAGTCTCCAGAAACAAATGCCTCTTAACCATCTCTCAGGTCAGAGGATACATTTCACAATCAACTCCTGCAGTCCGAGGCATACTAGTGTCTCTGGGAATTCCAGGGTCATGGTTTCCTGGGATGTATTCCAGAAGAGAAGTGCAGGTTCTAGCTAGACAAGCCACTCAGCCCTGGGATCGCCTCACTCCATGGTAAGAAAGGAGGCTCAAGGTGGCTAGAGCAGAGCCTTCCAAAGCAGAACATTTCAAACTCTTATATGCATATAAAAGACCCGGGCTCTTACTGAAATGCAGAATCAAAATACATCTGGATGGAGTGGTATTCTGCACATCTAACAAGCTTTCAGGTGCTGCTGATCCATGGACCCCACTTTGTTAGCAAGGCTGTAGCTTGTAGGTCTGCAGGCAGGTGGCACTGATAGCTACCATATTTGAAGTCTGTATGGAATGAATAAATTAAAATTGTGAATAATTCAAAAATTATGTATTATACTTGTAACGACCCTAATGATAAGAACAGATTTTTTTTTCTTTTGTAATCTTGTACACTTATCAACTGAGTGAAAATAGTACACCCAAAAACAGGTAAATAACTGGGACCCCACTCATATTAAAATTATGTGTATAATCTGCCAGGACAGGTTTGGCTCAGTGGATAGAGCGTCGGCCTGAGGACTGAAAGGTCCAGGGTTCGATTCCGGTCAAGGGCATTACCTTGGTTGTGGGCACATCTCCAGTAGGGGGTGTGCAAGAGGCAGCCGATCGATGATGATTCTCTCTCATCGCTGTTTCTAACTCTCTATCCCTCTTTCTTCCTCTCTGTGAAAAATCAGTAAAATATACATTAAAAAAATTACATAAAATTATGTGTATAATCTACATTTATATATTATATTTATCATTCAGTATGTTTTATGAAAGAATAAATGTTCATAATATCCTAGGTTTTAAGGGTGGTTATTTTTCAGGCAACTTAATCCATGTAGTAATTGAAATACTTGGAATAGAAATTTGGAACCCATCTGATTACTAGCCTTGAGCTATAATCACCAGGGGTTTTATAAAACTTGGCATTAAAATATTTATTACTTTTATTAATAAAATGTGGGGACATGGATGACATAAGAAATGAGATGTAAATTGTTTCTGTTGAATATTCATGATGCATTTTATCATTCTCTAGTATTTATTGGTTGAGACATAACTCTACAGAAACTTTAATCAATCCTCCCTCTGGCATCAAAAGCTACATTTATTGACTATGTTCAAAGCATCCACTTTTTCTTTTAAATTCTGTGCTGAAGGTTAAGACCTTGGGCCTTTCTTTTCTCTATTGTATCTGAACTTATTCTCCCATCATTAGTTTGAAGAGAAAATGATAACAAGTTGAATACTCTACTCTCTTTTGATGATTATGTTTTGACCCTGATGGGTCAAAACCCACCTCTAGGACCCAGATGAACTTACAAGAGAATTAGGAATCTTCCTTTGCCCTCCATACGATCTACTTCTCAGAGCTGCCAAAGCCCCTGTTTAGGGCACATAAATTAATACATTTGCTCGCAATGTGACTTTGGGACATTTTATAGCAGCGATTCTAATGTAGTTAGTGGTGAAATAGAAACTTGAGAATGCGAAGATTAATTTAAACCACATGATGAGTTCAAGGAAAAGGGACATCCACTACAGATTCTTGAATGTGTGCTAACTCTGTACAGTGGGGAATGGGATCCAAAACCACCAGTGAACTTTTAAACCCTCTTGAGAGGAATCAAACCAACCCAATTAGCCCTGGGAGGGAGCTATTGCAGACAACAGACAAACCATTTCTCTCCCTTTTAGAGAGATTCCTCTGCCTGAAAAAAAAACACAATTGAGAGATCAGGGAAAGAGGAGGGCCTCTAGCCATTACCACTAATGGCGTGAAGTTAGAACTGTCTTTCTGGTCATTAGCTGGTTTACTGATTTGTCTTTCATTATAGATTACAAATACTGTTGGGTTCTTTGAACAATAGTTAATTAACAAATTGTATGTTGTGGATAATTAGTGAATTTGAAATAAAGGATTTCTTTTTTCTTCTAGTTTGTTGTAGTGGTATTCTGGATCATTTATGCCTATGACAGAGAGATGATTTACCCGAAGTTGCTTGATAATTTTATCCCAGGATGGCTGAACCACGGAATGGTGAGTCAACTAAAACAAATGATAACTTTAATTTTTTTTAATCTATTAAGTGCTATACTCTGGTTTCTCTTCAGATCGTATAAATCTTTCACCTTTTACTATTAAGTGCTAACTTAGGCTTTCCATAGACTCTCTAAATAGCTTTGAAATGTTGTAAGATTATGATGCAATTATGACTACAGAAGAATACTGAGTGTAAATAAAATAATGTCTTCCCATGAAATTGAGTCACTACTAAAACTATGCACTACATGAATCCACAGTTTATAAGAGGCACTGTTGGTGTTGGATAATACAACTAGCTTAATCGGGGATGAATTCGCACCATTGAAGGGCTCGTCCACTCTTGGAGCCTGAGAATCAATTCCCACCTGCACAACTACTGACACTCTGCTCCTCCTCCACTCACATCAGTGGGATCGTTCTGGAAGTGACTGCATATTGTGCTGGAGAATTTCTCCTGGAGGAGCAACAAGGCTATTCTGTTTCCTGGGAGATGGCATTGGAGGTGTCCTTAGGAGTGACTGCCTTGTCAGGTCTGCCCATCCCAGGGTATTTGCCTGCAGCTGCTGGTTTTTTTCCTTCTCCTCGGTCTCATTCTTTCTGATGCTTTAGCTATTGTGTTACCTTCCCAGGTTTCAAATCAAATACTTTGGATGGTTTACACAGTACTTTACAAGATTTGAAGAGATATTGTCTGCAAAGAAACATTCCCTTTCTGCTTTGGAATTAAGCACAATTTTGGTAGTAACTAAGAAGCCTGCATTTTTTTGTTTGTTTGTTTGTTTGTTTTTGTTTTGTTTTGTTTGTTTGTTTTTGTTACTGCAATTTTTAGACTATCACTGGGTGCTTCTGGAGAAAAGGGCAACCCAACACAGAAATTATAGGGGAGCGAAGAGCTAGTGTCAAGTCCAAAATAATAGTTTGCTCCCTGCCCCAATTTCGGTGTGGCTTAAGAAAAGTGGTGTGTGCTGACAAACAAATATTATTATGCTGAATGGCTTTGCTCAATCCTTTTGTAAGCCTCTTTGTCAAAAGTGGCACATCTCAGAAAACTAGAAGTTTATTTGAACCCAATAGAGCACACTGATGAAAGATTAATGTGGCACCTTTAGTCTAATTCCCAAGAAATCAGCTAGGTCTTACTGCTTCACTTTAGCCATCTAAAGGGCCTGACTTACTTACTCCGCCCCTCTTTACCTAACTTTCTACTTTTCTCGATTGTGAAAGCTCTTTCATGACTCCATGTCTTTGCAATCCTCTGCCCCATATGCTCTTCCCATTCTCTGCTGGGAAACTACTGCTCACCCTGCTAGCTTAGATAACATCTCTAAGAAGTCTTGCCTCAGTCTCCTAAATCAAGTTAGCTCTTCTGTCATTGGTGCTTGCACAGCGCCTTCATATCTCTACTTCACACTTCTGATCCCCCCACAAAAATGCTACACTCCCAAGGCAAAACAGCAGCCTTTAAATCCCAAGCACTCTGCCCAACTCCTGGCTTACTGTAGGATCAATACATATTTGTTAGATTGATGAATGAATTCAGTATTGCCAGTTTCTATAATTCTGTGCCATTTGATACTAATAGCTATTATTTTTGAGAATTTACTGTGTCCCAGGCATTCTATAGTGGTTATATCACTTAATTTTCACACGGGTACTATGAATGAGGAAGTATTATCTTTTTACAGATGAAGACACTTAAGCTCAGAAAGTTTGATACTAGAAGGGCATTAGCCGAGAACTATTGGTATATCATGCGCTTAGAATATAGTCCTTGACTATTTGGGTCCCTCAGTTGAACCATATTACCTTTGGGCCATAGAATGAATCACCTCCTTTGCAGATCTTGGCACTATTTAATGTTTCTAACGAATGGTTTATTGAGCAGGTAGGCAGCCATTAGAACTTCAATTTGAGTCTCCTCATTTTCCCTTGATTCACTTGGATGGGTTAAAATTCTTACTCATGGAGGCAAACACTGCATGAAAATGCAAGGAGAATTTCAGTGCCACAAATATTTAGGAAAAGGATAGGATAAATTTATTAGCATATCAAATCCTCAGATAATATGAGCTCAATAACTCTTTTACAATGAATTTTGTGTCTTAGTAGAGAAAAATTACCCTTTCTTTGATTTTTTTTTCATGTTTCAATTCATGGTTGTAGAGATACAAACAACCAACTTGCATATGGTAGCTGAGGAATATTTTGTAGTATTAAATAATTTACATTACTCTAAATTTGTATATATGAAAATTTAAATACAATATGGCTAAAACATGCTATTTTAAATTGACAATTAAAATATGAATATTAAATACTAGAATCATGAATAATTACATTTTTATAAAATGTGTAATAAGATTTATGAAATTTCAAAAAATTAAGTAAACATTTTTAGCTTTTTAAATTTTTGTTTTAAAATGTAATAAGTAATTATAGTTTGTACTTGCTTTTAATTTTAATAGACATTTTAAATATTTAATTTAAAAATAATTCAATTAAAAATTTACATTTATTTTTAATTTCATATTTTGATGAAAACACTTAAATTGTGCACACTTTGATTATAATTACATTTCAAGTTTAATTAATGTTAGATTTAACTTAGAGTAATACTATCAGTAGAGCTCAAATTTTGTAAAAATTTCCTTTATAACAACAAATTTCATGAATTTATTGAAATGAAGACAAGAAAATAAAATTTTAAAATATTTATACTTATATTAAATATTTTATATCATATTTGTCATTTATTTTGATTTGCCTATATTTTGTTACTCATCTAATCACATATTTCCTATTTTGTTGTATGAAAGGTAGGATTATAAAACATATTTTTTTTAACAATTTACTAGCTTAATTTGTAACTTCTAGATATTTCTGCAAATGGTTTATGGCCCACAAGGCCTATTTGCTGTTGCCTGTTTATATTTTTGTAACTACAGGAATTCCTAGAGAGAATGCAGCCTGTATTTATTATGTGTAGGTCACATTCATTGTTTGCAGAGGCTCAACATAATTTCCAGGGATCTGAAGCCCTGAACCACAGAACTCAGATGCAGTTTATAAGCCCATCATGTCACCATTTCAGAAGACATTATTAAGTCAGTCTGAAATTTACAGCATTTAAACTTCCCAGCATAAGATTAGCCAGAAATAAACATAAGGGGAAACTCACAAAATCTGAAATTCACAGGGGTTTCATTTTGATATGCACTAAAGTTGCCAGAAGTTAGACATGATTACAACGGAAGGCAAGTATTCTATCATTTCCTTCGGCTCTCTGCCTATTTTTTCTCAGCGAGTAATCCTAGATTTGCAGAAGAGAAGAGGAAATAGGTAAATAGGTGAGTTAGAAAACTTTTACACCATTGGTTTGTAACCACTAAATTATCTCCAGATTCCATGAAAATAGCACCAAAAAGAAAGAATTTCAATTTATTACAATTAAAATATAAATATGACAAATTTAGATGGAGTCAGTTCAGTGTCCAAAATAAAATTTAAAAAAAAAATCTATCCTGGAAGCATTATCTTTGTATTCCCAGCAATTAAAAAAAAAAAAACATGGCCGAGACGGGTTTGGCTCAGTGGATAGAGCGTCGGCTTGGGGACTGGGGGGACCCAGGTTCCAGTCAGGGGCATGTACCTTGGTTGCGGGCATGTCCCCGGTGGAGGTGTGCAGGAGGCAGCTGATCGATGACTCTCTCTCATTGATGTTTCTAGCTCTCTATCTCTCTCCCTTTCTCTCTGTACAAAATCAATAAAATATATTTAAAATAAATAAATAAATAAATAAAATAAAAATAAAAATAAAAACATGATGTCCATAAAGTGTTGACAATAAAGATGTTTGTTGTGCACTTGCTTTTGAAACTTGGAAGAATGTCAGGTTTACATTTATATCCTTCTACCACCTTCCTATCCTCAGTCTACTGATGACCAGAAACAAGAAAAATAGAGATGGTATCAGCAAATGACTCAGTTTCTAAATTGTAATGAAATGGTCATGGACAGTTGTGTGAAGGTTCTGCAACTAGGGCTATGGAGGAGGGTCTGCACTCCCCCACCCCTCAGGTATTTATTGAATACCTGTGCTATGCAATGCATCCTGCTGTGCTTCGGGTGGTTACAGGATGAGAAAAACACTTGCCCTTTTAGAGGATGGAAATGGCACATGTGAAATAGAGGAAGGTAAATAGGAAAGCAGGCTGCATTCACTCTGACAAGGAGAAGCAGTAACTTTTGTTCTGGCTTGTTGCAAAAATAGAGCCCTGAACCTTTCTCTTCTGCTGATTAGTTTTACAGCATTGCCTATGGAGGAAATATACATTAGAAGCAAAAAGTAAATAAATATTTAAACTCCAATATGATTGCAGACTCTCACTAATGCTGTAACAGGAAAACAACAATGAGACAGTGTCTCTGCTTACCAAAGACCTAATTAATGTTTATGAAGTGCTTTGAGATTGCTAAGCACTGTGGATGGTTAGGATATTATTATTATTACCACAGATCTTTCTGCAGACATGACCTAGATATTCTTATAATCACAGCAGGAGTTGTTTATTCCCCATATACTTTATAAGGAGAGAAAAAAAATGCACCCCACCTCTCTTCATGCTCGATTTGTCAGTTGTTCTTATATGTAACTGATCCTCAAGAGAACCTTAATTTAGGCAACTATTTATTCTGTTCAGTATTATTTTGACATTTGGTAATTACTAAAGTTTTGTACATCTGTCTTTCCCAGAAGAAAAAGCATTAAATGCTGCTTGTATGATTATTGGTTTTGCAAGAGAACTCGGCTTTGACATTATTCTTTTGGTAAATTTCCAGTTCAGGGATACACAGGTTATGCATTTCAGTTCCATAGAGCCTGTACCACTCTGATCTTTTACAAAAGAAGCTGTTGGTTGAGAGAAGACCATTGTAAACATTCTGAATGAAAAAACTGACCTTTCTCACTTTTCCCAATATATTCTAAAGTAACT